GGAAAGAGCTCAACTTAGGAGTGATGTCACTCATAGTTCAGATGCCTGACTTCCAAGGTCGGCAAGGAAGGCAGCATAAGCTGCTCAGTGACAAATGTTAACCAAAGATACCGTGGGAAAAAAGTATCAGAAGCATAAGCTGACCGTGTGCGATGTGTATATTTGTTTGAAGAACTGAAGATTGGTCTGTTGGTCAGTTGTTGGTTGACCTGTCAATTCTCAGGTAAGCAGCTGAAAGAGCTATTGCTTCAGACTGCACTATAAACCTGCATGATTCATTCAGAGAAATACACTGTGGTAATCAGCAATCAGATTAAAGATAATCTTAACCCTAATCTTAGCAGGAAAAATATAAACACAAAGCTCCACCTTCTCACTTTTACGTCCCTTTAACTGAATACTGTGAACAGGAAAACTGAAATAATTACTTGTGTATATTAATGTTGTTTGAGTGACTTATCAGGCTTCCCTTTCTTAAAATGACAAGCCTAATCTGCCGTTGCAGATAAAAAGGCTTTTATGGTATCTTGACCAATCTTGTAGTCACTATCTGATCCACCTGACAGTCACAAAACCACTTGCTCACCTTGACCTACATAGCTGTAAACTAAGCTGCATGTCGATGGTTTAATGTCATATTACACTGACTTACATTTATTTTCTGTACACTTTTTCCATAGTACCAATTACCCTTACCTTCAACCCCCGTCTTTGCCTTAAAATGGAATTTTTAAATCATGGGAGAGTGACAGGAGTGTGAGGGTAAGCATTTTTAAATCATGTTTTTTTTTTAGTGATCATAAAGAACATATGTTCACACACATTACAGCTATCCTTACATTACTCTCTTACTCAATATAAAGTGTTTTTTAAATTAAGTGTACTGTTTTTTTCCCCCAAAAGTGAATATAGAGGGGATGAGATTACTCAAGGGAGTTTAACACACACACATACACCTACTGGGCACATGTCCACGGATTGCACATGCAGACTGCAACACATGGACTGAGCTCAGATTGCACAACATACAATTGCTGCTGAGCACACTTTGCCCTGGGAAAATGTTTGCATATCTCTACACCTGGGAGCGGTCTGGAGATACCGTTGATACGGGAGAGTGACAGGTGTGTGAGGGTGAGCATTTTTAAACAGAAGAAGGACTATGAATTTGCAAGCCAGAAGCAGTGGGAACAACATGGTCATCAGAGGGACAAGTATAATTCTCACATTCTTGTTGATATTTTGCCAGTATTAAAAATTGGACAAATTGTTACTTTAAACAAAAAAAACAACCAAACTGTACATTTAACAGGAGTTTACTCATTCTGGCTGGTTAGCCCAGTACTACAGTACTGTGCAAAAGTTTTAGGCAGGTGAGGAAAAATGCTTTAAACAAAGAATGCTCTTAAAAATGGAAGTGTTAATCTTTTATTTTCATCAATCAACAAAATACAGTTAATGAACAAAAGAGAAATCTAAATTACATCAATATTTGGTGTGACCATCCTTTGAATTCAAAAGAGCATCTTACTCGATGATGTTGAGATCAGGGCTCTGTAGGGGCCATACCATCACTTCCAGTACTTCTTGTTCTTTTTTATTTTGAAGATGGGTTGTATGTTTGGGGCTGTTGTGCTGCTGCAGAATACATTTGGGGCAAATAAACAATCATTTATATTTCTGAACATTCTGTTTACAGCATTTTTTCATACCTGCCTAAAACCTTTGCACAGATCACACATCTCTTTGTCTTGCCAGTTTAAGCCTAGCTCACCTAAATGGTTGGGAATGGAGCATATAGAAGATAGGGAAGAGGAGAAGTAGGAAAAATAAGTGTGGGGTTATACAGGAGGGTTAGTAAAACCTTAAAACCAGTGTAATGCCAGAAAAACAGTGGAACACATGTTCCTCCTTATTTGTCTAGGGTTGCATATTGTCTAGAACATTTTTTATGATAACAGTTTATGCTAAAACCATAGACTGAAAATAAATGATGGATGTAAAATCTATGACATCACCAATTGATTTCTGGATTCTGTTTTCAAGCATTAAAGTTGTTGAAAAATGTTTTGGGGTTTTTTTTGGCCTCAAGAGAGTATTTTTACACAAGAGAGTGGATTGCTAAGCTAATGCTAACAAGGTGCACCTGCTAATACAATACAATAATGTTCTAGTACACATGTCTGAAACTCAAAGCTTGCAGGCCAAATTTGGCCCGCCATGCCGTTTTATGTGTCCTGCGAGAGCTTCACAATGATTATCTTAAAATAAGTTTACCGTTTGCTGCTTAAAAGCACACAGTGATCGCAAACTACATTTCCCACAACACATTTCGATTGTTTGAAAGGGAGAGGGACAACATCTAATTTAACTTAATCTGTTATTTAAACATACACACGTGGTATCCACAGAAAAGTCAGAATCTTAGCTAAAAGCTTACAAAATTATTTCAATGACCACCAAAAGCTAAAACAGCAAACAGATGTAAACACAAAGCGTGGATCCCACGTACAGGAAAGGCCAATCGGGTGCGGAAAACCGACATCTCACAGATTCTGAAACTCCAGATTTTGTCACTCTCCAACCAAAATTCATTGAACGGCAAAACAAGATCACTACGCTACACTTCACTTTTAAAAAAGATTTGAGTGAATTTCCACTTACGTTGGCTGTCTTGCTTCCACCATAAAATTGCACTTCCTTCATAGCTCTCTCTCTGTGTGCTTCGAAAGACTAGTTTCCCATCAAAAATCCCTATTTCGTGCATTATTTGCTGGTTTATTACACACCAGTCTACTGGTGAGTACAATAACATCTGAAAGTCTAATTTCTACTATCCAGTACAAAAGAAAATTTCAACTTTCACAAATTGCAAAACGACTTACATCTCTAATAAAACCTCTGTAACTTTGTAAAAAACAGATGTTTGTTTTTCACTTACTATAGAAATCTGGTTTTTATGACAATTAAAAAACAATCGCCACAATATTAAAAAAAAAAAAAAAAAAA